GTGAAACTCTTTAAACATCCTACATTTACATTTTCCTGAAAAGTGCTCTATTTCGGTTGCGTAAACTATGACTGTGAGACATAGTCTCCTGTGCACATGTCGAAGTGTCCTTGAGTAAGACACTGAACCGCAAATTGTCTCCAATGAGCAGGCCAGTGACTTGCATGGCAGCTGCGCCGCCATCAGTGTGTGTGCGTGGGTGAATGAGAGGCTTTGGAAAGCACTTTGTCCAGCTCAAGCTGAAAAGTGCTATCTATACACAGTCCATTTAGTATTTAAAAAAGTGCTGACTGGTGATATGAGATGGGACGTGATTCCAGGATCACAGAGTCTTATGCAAACATAATTGGATAGGCTCAATTTTTTTAATACTGTACTCACATGCCATATGTATGAGTTATTTAAATTTTGCAGTAAAAAGACTATAACTTTTGAAGATACCTGCTTTTTAAGACGCCCGTCCATCTACTCATAAATCCACACATTTATATACATGGCACTAATGTAACACTATTTACTGCTCTGGCACTCAGTGTTGACATTGTCATTGTTTGTTTCTGCTGGATCTTCCTAGTTTTCCTTTATTTGGATTTGACAGTGGTAGACATTCACAGTATTGTAAACACGCATTCATAGAGGGCTCACGGCATACAGAACAATAAGATTAATTAAAGCTGGCATGCTGTTTATCGGCAGTAATCAACATGAACAGTATTACTGCACTCAGTAACTTGAATAGGGAGAGGAAAAGTTGGACTTTCACTTTGTCAGCTACCTCACAAAGTCTCCTTGGCTGTACTTCAGAACAGCTCTACTGTACTTTCTTATCACTGCTTTTAAATTAGTTTCATCGCCATCAGTTGTAAAAACTGACAGATCAGATAATTTACAACCTTTCAGAGTTTGGACAGACTTTTCTTTTTTAAGACTTGACTATCAATTACCTTTGTCAGACATCTGCAATGTCCTTCTCATGCTATCAGATATGATAGAACAAGAGTAGATCAGGGCAAAAAGAACATGAAGCTAAAGGTCACCCTTCCATTTTTGTCCAAAGTAGACAAAAAGAGTGAAATATGTATTCTAGTATGCTCTGACGTAATAATAAAAGAACTGTCTGCAGTGTTGCCCAGCTCACCTTCTCTTTTCCAGGATTGACAAGTTTTTTCCCCTGAAATGTACCACTATGTTCCACCCTGCTGTGTGAACCAGGCTGTTCTCCATCATCTGTCCTTGTCCTTTCTTTGAGCCTATAGTACTGTTGTCCCAAACCTTGAGCATGGGGAACTGTGTCCTTGACACGGTGACTCTGTACCTCAGTGTTTCTTTTCAGTGTGTATTAGAAAGTATTTATTCATTCAGCTCATGCTTATACCACAATGCCTTATTTAGAAGTGATACATAAGAGGATTATGAGATCTCTGAGAAATGCTTTTGTGAAATGGATTATATCTGATTGGTAAGGATTTTGTCAAATTGTTGACACACCAAATATTTCATTCAAATATTAATGGATGTTCCCCAGTACAAAGTGTGAATTGTTTGTAATTTTAACAACTGAGACAACTGACTAAAGAATAATGGTCCTATGTGCATTTTTACCACCAGGACAGTTACATGCTTGTCTTGTTTGTCTAATAGTTAGATACAAGTGATTAGTTATTTATGCAGTTGTGAATCCAGTTACATCTAAGATTCTTTGTTGTAACATTGCAGCATATTTGACGAAAATATATTTGAAGTTTTGTTATTGTCTTCTGAAGTATTTGTAGTCTGGCTCCAGGGCAGTAAATCACCACCCAAATCTCTGCCGGCAAGATAGATTCTTCTGGTTAAAATTTTTCTGGTACTGTTCAAACTATGGTTGCTGATGGTTTCAAATAAATTCCACAAATTGTTAAAGTTGTCCTACAAGGATCAATCAGAGCCACACTGCTCACCAAACATATAAAATTTATTTTTCAACTGCAGTGTCCAGTTTTATACTGATGACGCCATCTTTTATGCCTCTTTCTCATTGTAAACCAGGCCTTCTCCAGGTTACAATCTGCTTTTTGTGACTTTCGGACCTCTTTTATTCTTTTTAAAGCTTGTTCTAGATGCCTAAAAGACAAAATGAATAGATGAATTTCACTAGAACACACATTTGCTGTTCTCATATTGAATGAAAACAAAAAAAACAGAGGATGTTTCTCATTTAACAACAGAAATGCCAATATACCCATTCTACTATCTACACTGAATTAGTGAGATGCTTACAGTGCTGCCACTACCCTTAAACCATTGAAATGCCATTTACCACAATGCCCTTCAATTCATCTGACATATCGCCATCATAACAGTAGCAAAAAAAGTTAAGAGTATTTCTATCTTCAGGCCACCTCTGCCTCTGAAAACAGATTGTATGCTGTCTTCGGTCAATCTGTATACTGCAGCATTGTTATATTTGAATATGGGAACATTTAATTCAATTAAATCATTAGGATTAGAGTCTGACCTCTCATTTTAATGAGGTCTAACAAGGCTTTTGAATGAGCTACACTAATTAGGGGCATGCTATTAATGTGCTACAATAAGGGCTTCATTGTGCTTAGATAAAAGAAACTAATAGCTGCACTAATGGAAACCAACCATTCAAGTATTTTTCGGGCAAAGTGAAGAAATAAGAATCATTCAGCATCATTCCAACTTTTGTTTGTACTTGTTAAGTATTTGTTGTTTGGGGTGTTGTGAGCAAGATAATCGAAGACAGAGAGAAGTGGCAGCATCTATTTGGCAAAACAGAGCATAAACCTATGTTGAGATGGATTTTTAAAATTTTGGATGCAGATTTTTTTGTCCACATCTTTGTCCTTATGTGGTGACGAAAAGCCTCATCTCCTGTTAGACTTAGGAATCACTGAAAATGTTCTGATGTTCTCGTTTAATGATGCATAAAATAAATCATGGTGATTGTTGCTCCTCAAAGGTGGTCTCCCTCTCTATGGCCATACAGAGGCAGCATCTTCTTTCTTTTCATCATCTGTCAAACCATAATGTAGCCTGGCAGTTTTTCTATCTATTTATGTCTGTTTTGGGGTGTTCTGTGTCAGAAGTTTCCATGTGCTTTAAGCTTTAAAGCACATGGGTTGAGTATACAAATCTATATTAAGAGAGTCTAGAGTGCAAAGAGCCTGGAGTTACTGTCAATCAGAGCAGAATTTATCAGTACATCAAAAGGGGATGGAAACGGGCAAGCTTTCATCTTAACCACATGTTGTCATTGTACATTACAGCCGATAGTGTGCTTAGGTAGGTGGGCAAACAAGGTGAGGCAAGATTAAAGTGGCTACAGATGAGGAAGAGACAGGATTTATGGATTTGTCATCAATTGCTCTTTAGGCTGTATACTGTTACATCAAAATATTCTTCTCTATTGAGGTAGTTTTTTTTTTCCTCACTGGAGTGTTCTTTGAAACATGCTTAAAGTCGTCATGACACACATATTTCTTTTTACACAACCACATCTACACCCACAGAAAGCAGTACTGCTGAATGGCTTTTGGGTTCGGGCTACTGAACCAAAGCAACTCAGAGAACCCTCTAATAAATAATAAAAATAAAAACAAACAGACAAAAGACAATAAACCCTGTATAGTTGTTGTTGTATAATTATTTTTTTTTTTTACCTAAAATGACTAAAAACCATTTTGAGTGCTGTCTCCCATCTGTTAAGCTTGGTGACAAGAAAGAGACAAGAAAACTAGAGTTTTTCATTTTAAAATTAAAGAAATTGTAGAAATACAACAGATGATTGTAGTAGTAGAAACACATTTACTTATTTTGATCATCTAAAATTAAAAAGTCATATTGCAGTAAAAATGCCAAACCTTCCCTTTTTCCTCTTTTTTGTTTATGAAGATTTGTAAACTGAATATTGAAGCCTTCCAAGCTTTATCAAAGTTTGTTTTTTATGCTTTATGCATATTTGATTATGAACTGTTGGTCAGACAAAATAAGAAATTTGATAACATCACCCTGGGCTTCAGTAAGAAGGGATGAGCATTCCCTTATAGAACAAATGATTAATCAAGAATGTAATTGGCAGGTAAATCATCACATAATCCATAAATAGTTGTTAGTTGCAGCCCTTGATCATCGGCATTATGGCTCTAAGGAAATGGTTTAATACCACTTTGGGTTTTTTTTGTAGCTCTCACCATAATTTCTGTCAGTTATGACAACGTTGTATGACAACATCATTTGTCACATCAGAACTCCGTATGTGGGATTAAGAATGGGGACATCATTTTCCTGTGCCAGAGCCAGAAAAATAGCTACATCCATGATAAATGGCAACATGAACAGTCAACTTACAGAAATAATAAATCCCAAATTGGCATAGTTCTATTAATGTAATACAAACGTTAACTACTTCTCACAGCAGGGACTACAACATCTGTATGTTGACTGAAATTGATGTTGGCGGAACGGATACGTCGCTCGCTACAGATTACTCAGGGCAAAACGAAACCAAGTAACTCCACCTCCCAGAAAACAAACAAAAACACAAAAAGCTTGAAGTAAAAATGGCTCCTTTACAGGCCTGGTACAGCTTCACCAGGAAAGATGCCAGCTATTGTGAGGGAATATTTCCATAACGATGATAGAGCCTGCAGATGTCTGTGGGTCATAGACCTCAAACAGTCAATCATTGCAAAGAATTGGACACCAAATATTGATATATGATGAAGATGGATTTGTACATTAAGGTTTGTTCCACTAAAATTGAGGGATCAAATATAAAAAGGGACTGTTCATCTGATAATATTGTAATGGAATGAAAAGTAAGGATTACTCTTATGTATGGATTTATTACAGCATTTAATGTTCCAGTCAACACTAAATGTTACTTGTATTATATATTGTTATTATTACATTATTATTATATTATGCATTTGCGTGTGTATGTATGTGCCATATGATTTATAAAAAAACATTTGTTTGTTTTTCTCCTCCAGCACTGAAAGACGCACGCTTTCAGCTGGTGAACTTCTCGGACAACGAGCTGCGGGTGTCACTGTCTAATGTCTCGCTGTCAGACGAGGGTCGATACGTTTGCCAGCTCTACACAGACCCCCCGCAGGAAGCCTATGCTGACATCACTGTGCTAAGTAAAACAGCAAAACATACACACAGATGCACACAAACACTCAAAATATTAGTTGCAGGGAGGTAAAGCCTGTTAATCAACATTTAGATTGTGGAAGACGGAATACATTCACATTTTGAGAAACATGGTTGACAGCACACCATGGAAACTGCAAGAGACTCACAGATACAGTGAAGTTTGAACCAGGAACATTGTGTATTATGTGCTTATTAAGTCATGCTGTTAGTAGCTGTAGCTAACAAGCTAACATATAGTAGCCAGGTTGCATGAATGGGAGGCCATATAGGTCATAATTGACACTTGAACTGTAACACACATTCATG